TGGAACAGCCTGGGGACACAGGTGCTCACACATGGAGAGGACTACCTGGCACTGTCAGCAAGGTTAGTCATGAGTTAGCCTTGGGACTACTGTAGAGCACTTCATGCTGTCATGGTGACTACTGGCCCGTGCTGTTGGCCACGCAGAGCTGACTGCCTGTGCAGCCAGGCAAGGGTTCATTTCCCTCCCCTTTGCTGTTCAGAATCACCATCCACTCTCTGTCTCCCTGTCTGAATCAGAACAAAGCATTTTTCATTTTGAGTTTTCCTCCAACTTCATTGAGCAGAAGGAGCTACAGTTTTCAAAGCAGAAGGATAAGGGAAGAAACACTGAGCAGCTATTTATTTGATCATGCAGTTGAGAGCACCAGCATTCCCTCTAAGTGACAGACAAGACCTCAAACTACCTGAAGACAAGAGCTAAAACTCGTTTCAACTCTATTTTATCACATAGGTGTCATGTTTCCATGCACACTGCCTTATCTCATACTGAGGGGCTGTGACTTCAAATCGATAAGCTGCACTGCACTAGATGTCATTCCTAATGCAGAGCATAAGCTGAGTACTAGAATGCCCACTTCTTTATCATAAGCCTGTAGCTATCCTGCTCTCCACACCTGTGGAGACACCATTTCTGCCCAGCATTCACCAGCCCACTGAGGGCATCTGTCAATATGCTTAGCAAACCTTTTGCAAACCTGAGCTGTGCTGTAACTCTCAGCGGTGCACAGTTCCCCTAAGGTCAGTGCTAGGTAGCCAGGCAGAAAGCCTTGGAGAACCAGGGTCAGCTCAGGCTCTCTCTGGACCTGTGCCAAGAGGAGGAGAGGTCTCCATGGCCTGCCAGGCGCCAGCAGAGGAAATCATGCAGCGACGCCGTCTCCAGGCTCTAGCAACCATCCCTTGGATGTGCATGGACAGAGTCCCAATCCTATTGCCAAAGCTGCAGCAGAACTGTTCTCCACAGAATCATAGAACCATAGAATCCACCAGGTTGGAAGAGACCTCAAAGATCATCAAGTCCAACCCTACCATCATTACTAGACCATGGCACTAAGTGCCACATCTTCAGGAACCTCTCCAGACTAGCAGCTTTGATATTTATATTTTCCTAGAATGGGAACTCATAAAAACCTCAAAACCTTACAACCAAACTCACCTCCAAGTTCTTCCTTACTGATTTGTTTAAATGCTTTGGGAAACTGGACCTCGAGGCTTAACACCAACATGCCAAGTACATAGGAACTAGGGGACACATACTCAAATCACCCCCAGCCCCCAAAAAACAACCCCAAATTGTGCTTTACTACAGACTGAAACAGTAAAACACTCCTAGGCTCAAAGTAGCCCAAGCTGGAGAAGGCAGTGCACTGGCTCCAGTAATAAGAGATTTGGTTCAGGAAGTTCAGCAAAGCAGACACCCTGATCCATGACATCATCCAGACTTGGGGCTGTAACAGAAGCCATGAAAATACCAACGTGCTCTTAAGCCACTCTCAGTGACATGACAGTCCTTACTACAGAGTTTCAAATGCTGATATGTGACAATCCACCCCATGACACCATTTTCCAAAAATAGAGCAGGAATTCTGCCTCTCCTGTCCTGTGTGTTCTCCAAGTGGAAATGAAACGAAAATAAAAATCTGCTTTAATTGCAATGGAGTTAATGCTGGCACCCAGAAGAAATCATTCCAGGAGCAGGGAAGGGGGTGGAGTAAGGCTAAAAAGCAAACACACCCCTGTGACAATCCACCCCATGACACCATTTTCCAAAAATAGAGCAGGAATTCTGCCTCTCCTGTCCTGTGTGTTCTCCAAGTGGAAATGAAACGAAAATAAAAATCTGCTTTAATTGCAATGGAGTTAATGCTGGCACCCAGAAGAAATCATTCCAGGAGCAGGGAAGGGGGTGGAGTAAGGCTAAAAAGCAAACACACCCCCCTGGGTTGCAGTGGGGGGTATCCATGGTATGTATTCTATTATCATCTCCACATTAAAGCAGGCCACAAGCTGTTAAAGCAGGTGGGGCAGTGATCGTTATCACCTTGTCCCTCCCTCAGGGCAATCCTGAGGCTCCCTCAGGGGCTGTCTCTGATTAACGGGCTGTCAAGGGCCCATGCAGGACACATCCTCCCAGTGATCCTTATCCCTTGTCCCATGGTGAGGTGACTCACCCCAGGGGTGGGGAGCCAAACATGCTCACAGGGATATCAGCTGGGGTTTGGACCAGCACAGGGAGCCCTTTGCCTGCTGGATTCCCAGAGGACAAGAGCTGCTGCTGGACCTTCAGGAGAGGACCGGATCTGCAGGATCACTGCTCCAACAAACCCATCACTCCAGGAGGACTGCAGCCACCGTTCAATCGGACTACTGCTACACCCTGACTGACAGGGTGTCAGGTTACTTTCTGACTCTGTCAGGTCATTTTCTGACTCTGTCAGGTTACTTTTTTTCTTGTACTGTTGCATTTTTGTTGTTTTGTTGTGTTGTTCATATTAAATTGCACTTCTGATCCCGTCTCTCACCGGTTTACTTTTCAAACCAGCACACACACAAACAACATTTACTTCCTTCTCAACATGCAGACCCTTTTCCTCTGAAGCACTAAGAAAGAATATTTCTTTTTAGTACAACTGCAGAAACTCACAAATTTAT